AACACTCTAGTTGCACTTCAAGTATTCACGGCCAGGAGTCTCTAACCTACACTTGTAATGAAGGACGTCTCATCCTGTAACACATTTCTTCACTTTCCAGCTTGAAAAGTGATAAAGTGGATGTTGAAAACTCACTCACCTGTTAGGAGTGTACTGACCCAGACCAAGCACAATGCTTCAGCTTAAAGAGTACATGTTGCGTTTAAGTTTTTTTTTTTTAACACATTTAAGTTCAAACGAAAACAAAAAGACACAAACATCCAGCCGTGCATTAGAAAATACATCCCTGACCTATTACGATTAAAGAAAAGAGCTTGAGTGATTTGTACAGTCACACTTTGGTGTTCTGAACATGCATATCGTTGTCGTCGCATGCAAAGCTCCATAACCCCAAAGTTGATTTTTTAAATTATTTTTTTATGTTTATTCAGAATATTTTATTGCGCTAATGGCTGCAGGGGCCTTTTTTTAAAACATTCAATCTTAGCAACGTTTTATCTTACTCTCTGATTCAATGTACCTGAAAGTATGGAAGGAATCGAATTAGTATTAGAAGAAAATGTTAAACTTTGCACATGAGTGAAAAATCACAAACATGTCCCCCCCTCCAAAAAAAGCCATCCTCTGAATTCTCTTCTAAAGTCGCCCAAGTTAAAAAAAAAACCAAAATAAAAACACCTTTTCCACTAAATGCTTTACATACGTTCATACATACAAACAGTTCTTTCTATTTAGTCATCACCCCCACTGCAATTTACATTTTGTTTCCCTTCAAGCTGCTTGCTTCGGCTGATTGAAATGAAAGGAAAACTGACCCAAAAATATGCACCACCAACAACAACCCTGCTCAGCCTGCACAAGCTCTGCACAGTACTCTGATCAACAAGGGTCCTTATTGCAACTAAAGGCCTGATTTATTGGGGCACAAACAACACAACACTTTAAAATGACTTTTTACAAGTCCAGCATAATCAGCTAAAGAAACATTTAGAAGATTAAGATCGTTTAACGTCATCGCACACTCAGTCATCAAGGTCTTCGTATCTATCCTGGCTTTAAGGATTGCTAAACTCGGCAGTTTTGCTTCCTTTGCTGTGGCTACCACAGCAGATTTAACCATTTTTCCCAAAGCCTTTTGACTGTATTGTAAAATAAATGTCACAACACTTCAATCAAAATTAGTGAAACTCTAAATTCTTGGTGCTATCTTTTGTTCTGTGAAAGTTACAGTGCTTAAAACCGGGTCCGGGTCTGCTTTGAAAAATATAGAATCTACTCTGTTCTTCTTCTTTTGGTGATGTGGAAAGTCCCACAACAGGGCCATGACCTTCTCTTGAAGCTTAAGCAACAAGTTTTAAACTGTTGTCATAAATGACTACTGTCAACACAATGGAGATTTGTTTGCCTTTTTTTAAACATTTCCATAAAATTCAGCATCCATAAAAAATATTAGAACCCCAAATCCAAAAGGTAACGCTGTTCTAGCTGAACCTTGTGACATTTCTTTTCCAACAATGTGCAGTGAGTAGCAAACTTTATGCTGACAGTATCTTTTTTAAAACAAACAAAAAAATAAGTGAAAAAGTTAAGAAAAGGAGAACAACTCGGTTTCCTTTTTCTCTTCCTCTCTGGTGTTTGGTTTGTCGCTCCTCAGCTAGTCTAACATGCAGCATAGGTTAGTTTGATTAGTCAAAACAAACAGAAACATCACTGTGGTTCCTCACTAAATCTTGAAAACAATATTTGATTGTAATGCCCCATATACTGCACACACTGCATCTAGGCTCTTATTTTCACGCTTGTCGAATTTCACCCGGTAAACATGCGTATTTTTTGACTGTCGTTTTATCGTTCGATATACATGCGACTTTATTCTCATGCTCAATATTTCTGAGCAGATCCTCTGGATTATTGTCCTCTTTTCCCCGCGTTGAAGGCTGAATTAAAGATTTTGTCAGTCCTGCCATATGAAAGAGGGCAACAGCATCAATTTTATGGTCAATAAATTCCCCAGGAACCAGGCTTCGGGCTTGCGATTTCAAAAAATGCCACTTCCAAAAGTCTTTAGAGTCTTAAAGCTAGTGTCGCTGCAATGTCCCGCAAAGCCGACTGTGTTGTTGGGGTTGTTTTGGTGTTTTAAGTCAGCAGACACACACATTCTCGTAAATCAGCGTCCACATCACGAAGCAAAAACTCAATCAACCTGACTCCACAGTGCGGAAGAACGATTTTCAGCATTTTGTAATGATTGCAGCTTCAAGGACTAATGTTCATCGATAGAGTTCATTATTAGGGTGTTCATTCGATTGTGTTGAACTTAGATGAGGAAATGTGTGCGTGTGAGGGTTTGAATGAGTATGTATGTGAGTCCCCTGAAGTTTCCTGTCCAGGTGGCTGCTCAGTAGCACCTCCTAGAGGCCCTGAGAGACAGGAGACAACCTCTCCTTAAAACGACGGCCAATTAATTACTCAATCCTGGACGACCCTGACGGATCGATCAAAAGTCCGTAAAGGATAAGTGGAAGGAACTTCGTCAACAGCTGAAGCGGCACTGGGACCAGAATGACTTTTGTTGGGTAAGTTGGTCTAATGTGACGCTGGTCCCACGGTAGACTGTGATGTTTTCTTCAGTGTGACATGTAAATTTAAATTAAAAAAAAAAAAACCCTGTTAAAGCCAGAACAAACGCCAAGAGTGGACCAAAGCAAATCCACATCAAGGCACACCTTTGAGTCTTTTCCATCAGCTATGACAAATCAAGTTGTTTCTGCAGCAAAGTGTCTGTCAGCGCAGTCAGCCAATCACAGAGCAGACTCATTTTCCACCTGACAGGAAGCAGTAGTGCTGGTGGCCTTCCCCTCCTTGTTGAGTTTCAGGAAGCTGGGTTTCTCAATCACTACGGTAACAGCCCCTTCGCCGCTATTGGGATTTTCCAGCGATGGCAAAGTCCGTTTCTCTGAAGCTTTGGCTGATTCCCCGTCCCTGCCAATTGAAATAAAATTTGTTAGGACTTCACAGTGTGCTTAAAAACAGCTACAGATTAAGTAGGTCAAATGAAACAGTCTCAACGTTAAGCTAACTTAAAGCGCAGGCATGAGTGCCATATTTAGGCCTTTATCTATAGAAGTTTCTTGTATGATGTCATGCACACATTGCCTGAGAATTTGCTGTTTGCTAGGAAGAAATGTGTTTTCCTCAACTGATGAGCAAGTGGTTGCTGTCGGTTGCTGGCTGCTGCTAGGTGAAACTGGTCCCAAAGTAGGTGCTACATCGAAAACCTCCTTGTAATGGCTTTAACTGCTGGCAGGTTGCAACATTTAATAGTATTTTCCATGGAGCACAGCAATCCATCTGCAAATACTCACTAACAACTCACCATGCGGCAGTAAACTTGAAAAGGTTCACTTTCAAAGTAAAAGTTGTGCATTAGCACTGCAGTCATCACATTTTCATGGAGTAGTTGGAGTCTAGTTGGAGTAGGCCTGTGTGACTGGGGCTATATTTCACAGCAACTGCCAGATGGTTGAGGACAGGTCCCTAAGTCTAGGTGACTGGTTCCTTATGTGGTTTAACCTACATTGTCCCACTTCCAAAATGGCAAACAAGTTAATGTCACGTTAGTGATCATCTGACTGCAAAACCTCAGTAGAGGCCTATTTCTTCGTTTGTGTGTGCATTGCTTTATGGCTAAGAATGTGTAGTTTTCTCACCCGTTGTTTGGAGTTGGATAAATAACCAGGAAGCAGGCAGTAAAGAATCCAAGGAGGGAGCCCCCAGAGGCCACCATGGGAATGACACGAACGCTGCCAACAGCTTCCACTACAGAACCCAGAGCTGAGGCCACCAATATCTGGCTGATGTACACCTGAAGAATCACAACACAGTTTTCTCGATACAATATATGACATGAATGTAAGTGGCAGAACTAAATGACTTTATTCAACGCTCACCTGACAGGACAGGATGGCACAGTCGATGCCAAAGCCTCTGCGAGAGTTGCCAGGACTGTGCTGGATATACTGAAAAATGCAAAGAAAGTTATTAGTCCCAAAAGACATGATAATTTTTTTCTAACAAAAAAAGTAGGATCCTTTAAAATTACTAGCTATTCTTTAACTATGCATTTAATTCATATCTTTGTAGATTCATATCTATATTAGATCATTCAGCTTTTTTAATTGAATATATCTGTACCGCTTTCATTTCGTGATATTGTCCCAGTAGAGCATAAGGACAGTAGGAGATACTCATGGAGATGATGCCCATGCTGCTGATCATCACCATGGCCACGTACACATTAGGGAAAATTGCCATGACTGCAGTTCCTATGAAGGAAAACACAAAATAAAGGGAGATTAGGGCACTACTGACTATCCAGTGTGCTTTTCTACTCTACTGTGGTCTATTACTGCAGTTCATACCTATGGAGAATCCAAGTGTACCCAGGATGTAGATAACCTTAATGCTCAAGTCAAAGTTGTCGAGATATTTTTGAAGAATAGCTAGAAAAGAGAGATTTGTTGATTGTTTACTCAAATGATTAAAAGAAAATCCACTTTCTAACCAGGAAAACTGAATGATGTGAGCATGTGCTCTTGCGCATGGCTACCTGAACATGTAGCTGCAGTCATGGCATATATACCCAGGCCCCAGCATCCCATCTGAACTCCTTTGTGATAGTTATCCAATAAGGTCGAGTTAGAAGGAGCCTGTGAGACAGAAAACTGGGATTAGTTACATCACTTTTTACGTAAGATGGAGACTGTTTTGCTCTTTTTTTATCCTCTTGCAGCAAAATAAATGACAAAAATCAGAGAAATGAAAAGAAGCCTGTGCAAAGCATTTAAAAAAAAAAGAAAAGAAAAACTGAAACAAGATCGTACAATACTTCTGATAAATGTTTTTAGGGTAAATAATTAAAAAAAACACGATATATGTTGGTAAAGTAAAGTGAGGTGAAGTGAATGTATGTGTATCTGTGCATTTTTGACTGTTTCTCATACTTTAGGATCTCCGTGGTAGATGACTTGTCCCATGAAGTCGGTGAAGAAGACCGCCTCTGCAATGATGGAGAACCAGGTGAGCAGGTGACAGGCACAAAGCCGCAGCAGCTCCTGGGGCATCTTTAGCATGGAGAGCCACAGCAGGCGCACGGTGGTCTCAACCTGAGGGGAGAAGATAAAACATCACACGTTACAGTTACCAGCGAGGACAAACAATACAGACTCGTTAAGCATCACACCCCTCCATCCACACACCTCGCCCTCTTCACTCTCCGTGTCCCCGCTGGAGGAGTTGGTGTTCCCGCTGCGGTGTCTGTTCCTCTGCCTGTTCCTCCTCCTGTGCCTGGCCTCCACTTCGTACAGGTCATTCATGCTGCGGGACGGCTTGATGAGAAAAGCTGCATTGGCTCGGCGGTAGCGGTAACGATGATTACCCACGCGGCCGTAGTAAGAAAAAGTGCAGGACGGCTGGCGGTAGAAGGTGTGGCGGTGGCGTGACTGTCTCATAGGAGCTCCAGTGCTGGCAGCTGGATGACGAGAGAGTTTGTTAATGGGTTCATCTTTTAATAACTACTATAACACTGTAGGGAAATTATCCAGGTCTTTTATGCTAAAATTTAAAGAAAGTGATTTAGCATAATTGTGCTATTTTTCTAAACTAAAGTTGTTTACATCAGAACAATTTCACATGACCAAATTTGACTTTCCCAGTATAACTAAATATGACTGGGTTAACATATATCAACAACATGGCTATAATAACGTAAAGATGCTGACCTTTGACCATTCCAGCACGGTGTGCCTGTCCTTTGGAGCTCAGCCTGTTAGTGCCAAGTCTGTCAGTATTAGTAACGCTGGCTAACAGCCGCCCGTTCAGCGTCCGCTGCTCGTTGAGCTGGTTGTTCAGCAGCGCCTCCTGCCCGTCGTCGTTTTCCATTTCTTGCAGGAAAGCTGAGAGGCGGGAAATCCTGGGGGTGGTAACATTCGTTTGATTGCTGCTGTTTTGGGGGCGGAGAAAGTCTTGACTTCCCGTGCTGCTGCTGCGTCTGATGCTGGCGAATCGGGGGGGTGGGGTGCTGCGATTGGGGTTGAAGAAGGGAGTGGTCGTGGAGGGGGAGCCGTGATAGGGCGAGAGGTGATCGGCGAAGATGGAAGGCTCTATGTGGCACAAGAACATCGCATCGTGGTCGAGGTGATCGAGGGTTGCGTCTGCCATGGCGAGGACGCTGTCGCTTTTACCTGGAGAAAGAAGAGGGGGAGGTGATGCGATCAGTTTAGGTGTCAGAAATTTAGAGAAAAGCGAAAGAAACAGGGCAGAGAAAAAGGGATGAAGTTACGGCTGCCCTGTCATGACTGAAAAAAAAGAGAGAAAGAGCAATGAAGCATTTTTATAAGTGGAAATAAAAGTCTTTGTGACATATGGTCACACGGATCCTGAACTTCCTTTTGCTCTCTTTTTGCCTAGGAAACATAAAAACCAAACACCAAAAAAGTATACATATGTCGCCAACTTCGGGTTTATTTGGATTTCCTTGGCACAGTGACCATCTTTTTTTGATCATTTGAATTGAAAACCATTTAAAATAGATTTTGCTCATTTAAAAAAAACAGAAGTTTCTGAACTTACTTCTCACAAGCTCCACCTCCAGGAAGTCCATGTCTCCATGCTCTGACTGGTCATCTTCGTATGGGTCATAGAGGTCGTAGCTCTCTACCGTATCATCCTCACCGATCATTTCTAATTTGGCGCCGAGAAGTCCGGCCCTGCCATTGGCCGATGTTTGAAGGTGGGCAGGATCCAGACTTTCCTGTTGAGAGAGCAGTAAAAGGATGTTTTCTGTGATGTCACTGAAAAAGTCTATTTCTACTAAAACTGAACTTCACGGTTCAGTACCTGCTCGAGCCTGTCGTGTTGCGGGGAGTACTGCTGCTCCTCGATACTTAAGAGATGCAGCACGACGGAGACAGAGAAGAGGATGGCTGCAAAGAAGAAGAGGATCTGCTCCTGCGACTTGAAGACTGCTCCGAGGAACGTGTGCGTCCAGTCCAAACCTCCAAGCGCGTAGCCGACTGCGCCGCCTAGACCTGCGGGCAAGAACACACACACAACAAACACGCGACAGGTGAATTCTGCTCTTTCGCAGTAATGGCGGAAAATATTTTATCGCTGTCTTTATCATCAGCTGTACCTGCAGAGGCGGCGTGGATATTCAGTGCCATGTCTTGCTCCTCTGTGTCTGCCACGTCTAACAGGTATGCTCTGATTGGTCCCTCTGTGGCATCCGCACAAAAGTCCAGCACCACCACACCCAGCACAGTAAGAACAATCCCTATTGGTTGTCTCCCCTGCTCATCACCAAGTGACAGACCTGCCAGAGAAACACAGAGATGTTTTTCAGTGCTTATCTTACTTTAGGTTTAGAAATACAAAAAAATAAAAAGGCCAATAATTATCAAGAAGAAATGTGTAGCACAACGAATAAAATTAATTAGTTTATGCTGATGTAACCAAGCATGGTAAGAGCTAACAGCACATTACTGAATGACAATAGCAGCTATAGACACAAACAGGTCACTGCACATTTCCCATACTGCGTTGCATGTCGTGTGTGACCTTGTGTACCACATGACATTTGTGACCCGGTCTGCCCCCCCCCTGACCCCGAGGGCCTGAAGCTGTATAAATGTATGTGAACAACACAGTGTGCAGTGGGGTGTGCACTTTGAGTGTATTGTGTGTTGTTGAGGCAGTGTGACTAAGCATGACGAACTCAAATCCATTAACGTCAGGGAAATAGAAACATTTGTAGAAAGAACAGCGGCGTATCAGTATGTGCGCTTGTGTACATGCGGGTGTTTTGTGTATTTGTGTGTATGCGTGTGTATAGGGGGTGGGGGGGGACAATGGAGCCACGGTACGCACTAGCAAGGCACCCAGACAGGAAGTGAACTGTGATTGGTAGAAAGGGGGAAGCAAACAGGAAGCATTTCCCTGTGAAATGCCTGCTCTTGTGTTCCCATGTCAACACACACACTCACTTACAGCTACACACACACACACACACACACACATTCATTCACAGGTTACTACATCTTTCCCATGTCGTCCTGGCTCATTCACACACATTCGCCTATACTTACACGGAAACGCACACGTTCTCTTATTTATTCACTCATTTCTCTCAGACAGGTCACTGTTTGTTTCCCACGTTAACCCTCCCAGCACAAACACACACACACACACACCTCCCTGGTGCCCTTAATTGACCCGAGTGCCACTGCAGAAGAATAGAGGCAGAACAGAATAGACGTGAGTAAAACTGAATAGAATTTGCTGACAGAAAACTGTTCACACACCTCTTGTTCTTATTTATAACTCCTTTGACATTTCATTTGGTTATATTTAGAGATGTGTACAGGCCCCGTACACTATTGTTCTACATTAGGCACACATTTGATTATGGGTCACACTATTATATTATGGCTAAAGGAAAATCCTGAACTCTTGAACTCCACACTATAGTGAGGTTTGCTATAACTGCTCTGTTGTTCTCTTCTCAGCTAATGCACACAGAAAATGTCTCATTAAGAAAAAAAACTCAAAAACGTACCTATGAGTGATCCATTCAGAAACAGAGCCACTCCAATCAGTGTTCCTATACAGAGAGCCAGGATGAACGGTCTCCTCCTGCCCCATCGCAGAGTGCAGCGGTCACTGGCCGAGCCGATCAGAGGAGTGAACAAGAGGCCAAGAACTGGACTGAGGAACCACGTCAGACTGTAGTACTGCTCTGGAAGACCTGCACAGCACAGACACAGAGACAGATGAGGTGTGAGCAGAGACAGAGACAGTGAGAGCTAACAGCAGGTGCGCAACACAGATGTGACTGTGCTTCCACCAGGGGGCGCAAGCTGCATTCAAACTGTTCAGGTTGAGAGTTATAATTTCTGATTAGTATAAATATTAAATATTTTAAATATTAAATAAATATTTTATTTTTTTAATACAGAAATTAGGCAATTGCAAAATTGAAATTAGCCACAGGTGGCATAAACTGTGACACTAATATTAAACATAACTTTATTTATATGATTAGATACCCATAAAAAGACTGTTCAGCATCATTGCATACAGACATTCTTGGCTTACAATTATTTAGAAATATAATTTCATCCATCCAACAGCAGAAACGATTCTTTCACCAAAACCAGCAATCAGCCAGCCTGCTGGTTAATGCTGCTCACTGTCATCGTGATTAACATAATAATATCCTGCTTATCTGATATTAATTAACACATGTAATATTGCAATCGGGTAATAGGATTTTCAGTGACTCACTATGTGACAGCAGGTCGCAGTCACAGGTGAAGTGCACTGCCACATAAATTGGTTGTTTGTGCTGTTACTGCTGCTACCTAAGAGCTGACCTGAGGCTGACTTTTTCAACACCTTCTGTTAAAGCCTACACGAAGATAAAGAGGAGAAAGCCACAGCAACCGGCCCCGATGGCAGGATTTATCTCAGGTCTGCTGAGCTTCTGTGTGTTAACGTTCCCCCTGGATTACCGCACAAAGGAATTCGACAGAGACTCCGGTGCTCTTTTTAATGCAGAGAAAATGAGCGAAAATTGAGTGTGGAGGCTCAGTGATCAGGTTAGTCAGGCTTTTGCCAGTAATCGACACAAAAGAAACTGCCCCAACAGTGACTCGCGTGTGTTAAACAATTCAATTATGAGCTCTCAAACGAAGGAAGGAAATCTCCTTTTTGTTGCTTCTTCTGAAAGCACGAGAGCACTTATGCATTTCTTATTAACTACTGCTTAAATAAACTCATAAACCTGAAAGCAGTAAACGGGAAGTATTACTTCTGACTAAATAGGAGCGAAGAAAGACAGGAAAACTTTTATTTTTCTATTCAACATTCATTTCCTGAATTAAATGGATTGAGCTCAGCATAACCCAGACTGTTATGTGAACGTGACCTTGTTACTGAGCGCACATTTAATTATCTTTATGCGCCGACTTTCCAGCGTCGGAAACCAGGTGAGGATTTCAAACACATCCGATGAATGATGGGGCCCCAAATTAGGATGGGCCGGTGGAAATAACTAAAGAGACACTTAGGATGCAGCAAACTAATGGAAACGCACACATGCTTTTGATATCTCTCAATAATACCACTCAACACTGTGTAAATCCATCAAACACACCTGTCGCCAGCAAAAATAGCTCTTAACCCCTCTTAACCTGAAATATGTACTTAATATTTTATAAACCTAGCATAAATTCACTGTTGATTATCATCATCAAAGATTAAAAATACATTGAAACACATTATGAGATTAGCAGAGATGAGGTTATTGCAAAGTAAAACAGATTTCTGGTCCATTTAAAAGCCACATGACATCACACAGTTCAGAAATGAACCACTTCTAGCTCCTTAACACAAATATCTAATTGGCCAATCACGTGTCAGCATCTCAGTGCATTTAAGTGTTCAGACATTGGAAAGATGACCCGCTTCCAGCAAGATAGCACACTAAATAACCTGGAACTGTTTTCTTGAACATGATAGATGGTTAACTACATTCAAAGAACCTCCCCAGTCACCAGATATCAATGCAATAGAGCACTTTGGGATCTAGTGGAGCAGGAGAGGCACTTTGTTGAATCTGCCCCAGGAAGATATTTAAGGATGATCAGCCATCAGTCAGCCATTGGGATCCAGTGTTGGCTGTGTCCAAGCTAGCTGTTTACACCTGTAACTTATACAAAGTGTTGCAAGCAAGAAGAAAATCATCGGGACTTTAGCAAAGCTGTGAGTCAAACCCAGAGGCAACAGCTTCTCACTTCTTAAACAAGCTGTTTGCTTAGTCTTTGCTTCTACAAACCGTCTGACTTCCCCCCACATGCTGCCTCTGCCGATTCAGCACTTCCTCCTTGAGGGCAGGTATCAAGTAGGATTTGTCAAGATACTTGGAAAGCCTTGCGTTTGACTTTTTGAAACGTGTTCTCAATCCACGGCACTTAGTGAAACCAGTCAGACTCACTGTTTTGCTAAACAGTGAGTCTGACTGGGATCAGATGGAAAAAAATAAAGTTATCTGAGTGGAGTGATAGGATAAAAGGATATAGCTGTAAACCAGAAAACCAGCGTTACTTTTACTTGCTTCTAAGTCTGTGTATTCAGTCAGATAATTTAACTTTCCTAATTTGTTTCACTGATAAACAGAAAGTAAAATCGAGTTTCTTTGAGTCATCACGCCCATTTAGTTATCAATGCATTAGTGAGATGGGAAGCGGAGGAGGCGGAGGCAGGCAGCCCTTTAAGCTAAGTGAAGTCAGCTGAATTGCAAATAATTAAATCACAACTTTATCCTTGTCTCACTGGCAAACTATCGCTTGATGTGGCTCACTGAAAAATGAATGCCATTTGGCTGCCGCACAGAGACAAGGAGAGACATTGAAACACTGAAAAGGTATGAGGTCGTTCTCTGAACCCTGCTTAAAAACTGGGAAATTAACTTTCAAAGTATTCAAAAAGCACCACGCCTCTTTAATGGCAAAACGAGAGGGTTGACCACTATTTACTGAACCACACAAATCTAAAGGCCAATTTGGGCAGAAGCCACCAGCAGTGTTGTGGATATAACCAATAAAGAGTAGCACATTGCTGTAACTAAACGGTTACAGCAATAAAACTCCTGGTCCCAAATTTAGTAGTCACATTTTATCACTTTTATTTTAAGTCACTATGGCCTACAACCAGTACTGCAGTTGGACCTTGTGTTTGCCATTTCACATTTTTGTTCTTTCTTTCTACTGTCTGGCTTTGAGGTACGTAGAAAAAGAAAGAGTTTGTGTATGCTTTATATGCATATGTATGTGTGGGTACATGTAAAGATTACACTGCAATGAATGTAAGAAATCACTCACAGGAGATACGTAGCTAAACTAATGCATTACTTCATTAAAATTATAATGCTTAATACAGTGCAATAAATACCTACCTGTGTGTAGTGTGAAGAAGTTTCTAAAATGATCTCTTTAAGTGGTTTTAGCAAAAAGTTTTTTTTATTTATTTAGTTAATTCTGCAATAATTCACTTTAATAAGAAGAGAGACAGCAGAAATGCAGAACTGCTGATCAATACAAGCAAGATGCCAATGATAGTTAATTCCTCGGTGGGCCAACAGATGGAAGAAACTTGGAGAGAGCAAGTGAGTTGATGGCATCAAATCTAATTGAGAGAAGATTAAGACTTATCTGAATTTTTAAATGGACTTTCGATTTTCTCAAGGAGTCCTCTTTTAAGAGATAGACGTCAATAACTGAGTGCCACACATATCTAATTATCAAGAGTTGATCTAAAACTTCCCCAGAAGTCCACGAACAGACGGTAAACACCGAGGTCGCCATGTCAGGTGCAGGGTAAAGATCCTTTCACACAATCCTCATCAGTCCATAGAAGTCCAGGCGACAAATCTAATCTGACTCATTTCTTTCAAATAACCAGTGTTGATGTCCGATGTTGATGTGTAGAAAATTCCTGGAAATTCGTGGGAATTTAGTTGTTTGCTTGCAAAACCCTGCCATCATGTGAAAAACTGTCTGCTGCAATCATGGTAATTTTTTATGTTTTCACTGCTGTTGATGAATCACATGTTTCTGTTTGGCAGGAATTGTGGTCTGAAGATAGCCTTGCAGATCTGTGAAACAAACTCTGAAGCAGAAACAGCAACTTCAAGGTTAAACTGCGTTTTCTCATAGGAACACTGAGAGCTGGACAAGCAGCAGTGAGAAATGTGAGACAGTCTCACATCCCTTTGCTTTTGCTAGATTGTTGCAAAGGTCAAAACAGAGACTGCATTTCACACGGAGCAAATCTTTTCCATCGCTTTTCACTGCGAAGAAGGCAGAGGCAACTGAAGGTTGAACAAGAATAACAAGTCGGCCTACATTTACATTTGGAAACTTTTCATTAGCAGATCAAGTGAACTCCAGGTGTCGAGACTTCATCCGCTATAGCGCTTAAACACATTGATCAGCAACATCGGCACTCACTCACAGCGGAGGTGTCGTCATGGACTCTGGATGAAAGCCGGTTAGCTTCGATCACACCGAAACTGATATCACTGTGACACATTTCTTTACTGTAACAGCTGCTGATGTGACTCACTTGAAGCAGAGTGCACTACGTACTGCTGCTCAGGTTTTCTCAGCATGCTGCCAAAGAAAAACAACAGGATGGACTATGCAAATATAATTACCTATAGCCATAGTATGGCCTCAAAAAATGACTTATTAACTATTACAACTAATGAAGGATATGAGTAATCAAAGGGAGAGAAAAAAAAACAGCCAACAAAGACCTCACAGAGGCCTCTTCTTAAATGCTTTTTGGAGGATTTTATTGCAATTAACTGATAAATAATCTGGTTTCCAGATGCCAAAGAAGTCTGCGCTTATGCTTTAGTGAATGACATTCTAGTATTCTTTAAATACCTTACTAATCAACAGGTATTTGTGTCTGTGTGATATACCCATATCGCCTAGGCTTGTTAGTGTTACCTGATAAGCTAGTCCGTCACGTTGTCTCTGACGGTGTGGAAACTGCAACTTCAATCTGTGTCCACAAACCAGTGACATCCATCTTTTATGGACTACAGCTCTGTCTGGCTAACAATCTAAACTCTAGAGATAAGCAGCTTTATTTCATGAGAAATGATGAAAAGTTGTAAATCTTCACATTTTTTAAATGGTCGGCTATTCATTTTCAGCGTATCAACAAACAGATTTA